ACTCAGAATATACGGAATATTGCTACAGTAAGTAATATAACATCCGAATCGAGCGATAACTTTTTAAATAATTCATTCAGTTTTACGAATGTGAACTTTGCGAGCAAATTTCTATAAATTAAATTTATCTAATCGTTCTCCGCACGACTTTCTCTCTCGTGATAGTTATAGTTTCTCTTATGAATTTTTTTGAACTATCAAATTTAAAAAAAATTATAAAAAAAAAAGAAAGAAAGAAACGAAATAAAATGGCCAAAGTAGAAAGAGTTTAAAGTTACGATTAGTTCACTCTACTTTTAAATTAGTTTCCATCTTATTGATATCTTGGTGACATCTTACGTACCAATAAATATTGTTAATCGATAAATATCGATATATAAAATATTGCCGATCGATATATTTCGGCAAAATGAACAATCTGTCGACGATTACTTCTAAAGTGGATTTTTCTGAAATTACACGATCCCGTAATGAATAAATTCTGTTCGTACGTCGCGTGAAATTTCCAATATTCAAGCTGGATATCTACGAATCACAGGTAATGTCAATTAATTTCTTTCGCTCTGATAAAGGTGATGGCAATATCTCTTTGAAATCATTCCTGAAGCGAGCCTCTTTAAATTGGACGATACGTACCGTTACGATTATCAAGTTCTGTTCACTGCGTCGTGAAAAACGTTTTATTCTTGGGAGGAAAAAAAAGAAATGTCTGCAAATGTCACGAGACAGGAAAAAATGTCGATTAATTTATACCGGTAAACATTGTAACATTCGCAAAACGAAATTTCCGTAAATCACGTGACATCTGTGATACCGGTCTCGCAGCTTTAAGCAACTTTTTTTTTTTTTTTCTTTTTTAAATACCGTGAATCCGATTTTCAAACCGATCTAATAACTCTCGCAACACTGTTGACAAAATGAAATTTCTGTGTAAATCAGAGAATCACGTAATATTTGTACATTTCTCAATATTTCATACAATTTTTCTAAAGTTTTCTGTTAATTTTATGAGTTAAATTTTTAAAGCAATAAATCTCTGCCGATAATGCTGTCGATTAGTTCATCTCGTTTTACGATAGTTTATGTTCTTGAGAAATTGCAGATTGAATTTTTCGATAAATTATATTTAGTATTTTTATGCCGTTAATACAATTTGATAAATTGTATCTCTAATAGATGTAGCTTTCTGTAGTGGATAAATTAAAATGGAGAGCTGTTGGTGTTTAATAGCTGATATTTTTTATTTGCAAATTTTATTGCTAATTGAGATGGGATAAAATATGGGTGTAAAATCATGTCCTTGAAAAACTGTTCAATTAACAGAGCTATTGATTTTCTGCATTTTATATAATGTAACGTAATAAAATCGTTTTGCTTTTTTTTTTACATTTCGATTTCGTTCAATTCAATTCTCTATCTTTAACGAAATTTATTTATACAGTGCGAGAAGAAATTGGTTCATCGAAAAAAAAGAAAAAAAATTTGTATTCGTTCGCGACAAACGCAATCGAACGAACACGAAGTTCCCTCATAAAATAAACCTAAAACAACGAACATTGATATGGAATAATACAAAAATACGATAGCGTGGAAATAACTTTTTTAAATAACGAATAAACGAAGAATTATTGAAATCAAATAACGAGCAAATAAACGAGAAGTCCGAAGACTCGGTAAACAATTAAAATCAATATTCAGTCACAAATGAATATTCATTTCGAATTTTATTTCGAAAGAAATTTCAATGTATTATTATATTACAAAAATTTTACAATATTGATCAACGATATCCATAAATATTGATGATAAATTTAATAACGTTTTTAATATATGAATAACAATGACAAAACAAAGCTTGTTCCCCTTAAAAGGATTATAATTATAATTATAAATCACCTTGCCCTCACGCTATTTATTAAATTACATTTTTAATAATAATTTTGGAACAAAATTTATTCTCTTGAATAGTAATTTTTAACAATAAGTTTAGAACGAGATTTCTCTCTTTTCTCTTGGAAAGGATGACTCGGGTTTTCTTGTCACCGCGAACAGAAAAAGAAG